TGCAGAACGGCTGCGAGGACACTTGGGAGGTTGGATAACATGGGTTGAATGGGGAGGAGACCAAAAAGTTCCATTAGGACAGGGACCCCCTAGGGACTATCGCCTTGTCTTCAATGATTGAACCCACATTGAGCCCGCTTTCCCGATGAGACCCCCGTCTGATTTTCGAGACCCCTTCCCGCCACATCCCCTGATTCCCCTCTCCTTGTTTGAAATCCGAGATTTGGACCCTGCCTCCCCCCCTCCCCCTCCCCGTTGCCCCCCGAGGGATGACAATAGAGACAAGAGAAGGCTGTAATTGAAGTCTAACGGTGTGGGCTCCACTGCTCCTAAATTTTCTTCAACCGAAGTCAAATAATAGCTCTGGCACATCCTCATAAGGGACAACAGATCGATAGAATGTTGGACAGGGAGAGAGAGGAACTAGGGTGTGAAAGTGTATCTGGCGCCGGTTCAGGGCGAAGAGGTTCCCCTCTCCTTCTAATATTCTACTCAGTTAATCCGCTGTACCCCAGGGTAATCAATGCTGGCAGGACCCCCACACAATTTTTCTGATGCACTCGAAATTCATTTTGTATAAGGGACGTTGAACCCGATTTCCAGTAGGTGATGCTCCCCACCAATAGATGGAGCTTCTCCCCAGGTGCTAGTGGTGCTTGCTCTTATCGGCACCACTAACACTGGTGGGGGCGGGTTGAAAAAAAAAAAAAAAAAAAAAAAAGATTAATAATCTGGAGGGGAGTCGCCTCCCTCCCGCCTGCGTAAAAATATATATATATATATATATATATATATATATATTTATATATATATATATATATATTTATATGTTTGTTTGTTTTCCTCATGCTGTTTGTCTCCCTCGGATTCATCTTTGTTTATGCTACTCACTATTAATTTAGTTTTGCTTTTATTTCATTTTGTCACCATGAATGGACGTCATTTAGTACCCAATGCTTGACAATCTTTTGTTGAAATGATTTATGAATTAGTTCTAAACTTAGTTAATGAACAAATAAGTGGTGTACCACCAGTTAAACAACGATTTTTTCCTTTCATCTTTGTCACTTTTACTTTTTTGCTATCGTCCTGGTAGATGTGTTATACACCATTTTCCTAAAAGAACTCTTATTCATCTGTTTTTTCTCTGTATAACTTTACAAAAATCCAAAACAACGCAAAAAACAGAAGTTTTGATCAATCGAGAAAGTTGATAAAGCACGCAATAGATTATTTTGTTATGCAATATTTTTTCTATGCAAAAAGTCGATTGAAATTTGATCCGGCTTCAGCTTTAATAGGCTTTGTTTGTCAAAAAAAGAGTTACGTTCGCTTCGCGCCTTATCGTTACTTTTATTTCGCTTTTTTGTAATCTTTATTATCTAGTCGAGCAAAAACTCATATAGTGATTAGGCCGTTGAAAGTAGCTTCTTTTTATCAAAGTGCTTCTTTGATTGCACAAGAAATATGCAACAAATTGGAACAAAAAACATCATTTCGTCAAATCTGTAGATTTATTTTCCAGCAAATTAAAAAATGCAATTATGTGAAAGGAATTCGTCACCTGTGTTGGTTTGGGGTACGGTTCAATTTACAATTGATTCTAGAAGTTTTTTCCCGCTAATTGAGACCCTGTCCAATTTGTTCAGTAGCGCTAGCTTAATTCAAATTTCGTCACTTTCTAGTACCCATCAGTGCCGCCTTTCGAGGTTTCCTTAGGGACTGATTCACTCTGCGTAGATTGTATTGTAAGGTCGGTATTGTGAAGTTCAAACTCTTACAGTGGGTAGAATGCAAAGTAAGATAAGTGATTGATTACATAATCGAGCAAAGAAGGAAGAAAAACTTATGCTCCGTGAGGTTTCAGTAAGCTAGAGCAATCAATGAATTCAATCCCAGTACAAAGGCACATTTTGGTAATCGTACACCTACTTCAGACTAAATCATAAATGGATTGGAGGTTTTTTAACCAATTGGAAGCACATTTTTCATGTACAAGTGTTTTTGCAACACTTAGAAAACTTATCACTCAAATAGGTAGGTACTATGGGTCCTCTGACTTCCAATAGGTACATCAAACAAACCAGTTGGATCTCACCGGTATCACCTATAGGCTTTAACGTTGTAAGTATGTAGTTACATATATCTGGTTTTTACCTGTAGTTGAACATCGGTTACCGCAAATCTATCTTTTCGAGAAGGATAATCAACTCCACAAATATCGATTAAAACTCAAAATCTTGTGTTCGTATGATTTTTTTTTAAAAAAAACATTTGAAAAAGATTGTCTAGGTTGGTATATATACAAATTTTCTTTTAGCTGTTGTGCAGTAACAGTACCAATATCTACAAGTCCAATCTTTTCTAATTTGCTTGGATTGTATTTAGAGCCTAATTCGCGTTCGCTCGCCACTACTAACGGAGTCTCGGTTGATGTGTTTTCCTAACTAAGTGAATCATCAGGCGGGAAGGAGCCTAAATCGACGGACTTGACTAACAGACTATATCATCATCCCAAGCAGGGATGTCTGGCGTGTAGTCGTTGAGGGGCGCATTGCATGTATCAACACATGATTGCCCTATCTGCTGAAATACAGGATGCTTCGAAAAAACAAGGATTTGTTAGAAAAGTTCAAATTGACAGCAAGTAACATTAACTCAATTGACATTAATATAAGATATTCTTTCTATTTAAAAAGATTCCCCCAAGTTATAGCAGCTCCAGATGAAAGTACAATGAGAGTACTTAGAAAGGGGATTTCCCAAGGATCTAACACATCAATACTTGTTGTTTACCTCAAATACAACATCTACGAATTTACTACACATTTAGTTACAACCGAAGATTAAGGACGGATTCGAACCATCATTCGTGGATTTGCAGTCCAATACATTACCTTTATGTTACTTAGCCTTTGATTTGATTGATGGAAAAAGAAAGGTGCGAAGCAACATGGAAAGAGAGCGGTCCTGAATGTATCTTCTACGTCCATGTAACCACCTCACGGAGTATATGTCAGCATGATCCATGAGGACTATTCCACGTTTTGTCGTGGGTATAAAGTCTCCTTTCAAAAATCCATGTTCTCGCAGTGTACTTATTCACCGTGGTCCCGACTCGCTCGAACCGACAAAATGTTTTAGTCTTTCGTGTTTAAGCGCTAAAAGCTTTGATTATCACGCTAAATTGACTATCTAGATTGTTTGGGATTTTTCCCAAACTGTTTGGTAGATTCCCACGCATTACGCACCCGTTCGCCACTTTGTTTTTCATGTACAAGCGCATTTTTAACACTTTAAATACAGCACAACATATTCGCAAGGTGCCGGGTTATAAAAAAATAAAAAAATGCTTTGAAGGAATTGTTACAAACGATATTCCAGGCTGCTTCGTGATAATGAATGCAAATCAGAATTTCATGGCCATACATGAAGCTAGTCAATTACATATACTGATGTAAAGACAAAATGCTCAGAAAGTCAAAAAGTCTGTGATTCTTTTCAACCAATGGGATTTGTGAATTTGAAGGGTATATGGATTTTCCGAAGGTCAAATCAAATATGATTTATTCATCCGGAATAAATGTAATTACTCAAATAAAAACAGCTTCGCTGGTTGTCGACAAAAAAAAATCATAATTAATTACGACTGACGTCAATGGTTTTTTGGTGATCGCACCTAACGGCGGCTTCCTGGAAGCGGGAATTCTTTGTCAAATTAAATAAAGTCGACAAAAAAAATATCATAATTAATTACGACTGGCGTCAATGGTTTTTTGGTGATCGCGCCTAACGACGGCTTCCTGGAAGCGGGAATTCTTTGTCAAATTAAATACTTTTCAAAACAAAATACAGACTTTGATCCAAGCGCGTAAAACAAAATGATCGGACTTTTGTAGTGGTCAAAGTGTCAGATTGAGAATTTGAAAACACGGGTTCAACTCCCGTTATTCGCCTCTTGCATCTGAACTCTGGCGAGCCTAAGAAAATTTCCAGCAAAAAGATAAGTCCAATAATACCACCTACAGACAAATAATGTAATACATTTTCGTGAATATCTGGTATCTTTATATTTAGCATCATAACCACAAATAAAAATAGAACAGCAATGACTCCTACATAAACAACTAAAAAAATCATAGCAAAAAAATCAAGACCTAATAACACAAGTAACCCTCAAGTATTATAAAATACTAAATGAATAATTTTTTTGTGTATTTTGACAGAGTAGTTATGAAAAGAGTTTATTGTGACAAAGTTTTCCAAAAAATTGTACATGCTACGTCCTCGAAGGGTGCTTTGACCTTTTTGCAGTGCTTCGCGTCTTTCTTTGAAAACTTTAGACAAAGGTGTTATTTCCATTTTGGGTCCTAAGTATTTTTGCTTACCCAACTGAGCGCCTTTAAGTAGTACCAAATAGTCGATAGTTCCGCATTCGGAGTGCCGACGGTTCGGGATGTCTGTGTTACCTGTGGATGATGACGGCTGCTCCTCGGAGAGTCACCCTGGCTCAGCCAGTGGCGGGAACAAATAATCTGCAGGTTTCAATCATGAAGTGAGTAGGTCATGTGCCGCTTCGGTCATGTTGGATGTGTGGACGACCTCGTCTGCGCTCTGCCGCTGCCCTGCTGCCTGTCCTGCTTGCTAGGGAGGTGTCTAGAGAGACTCTAACACAAGCAGTCTCTGGGCAGCTATCTAGACACCGGCCTGCAACCTCTGCCATAAGCACATGTGGTGTGGGAGTCTCCTGCCGGCTAGCGCTATGTTCCCCACATGGCCTAGTGGTAGGGGCAGTTGCTACCCCTACCGGTGGCTGCCTTTTGGCCCTTGGGCAGTCGTTCGGGTCTCGCGATACTTAGGACAATATTTTATGATGTGGCCCGAGTCACCGCAGAAAATGCACTGGCCCCGGTCCAATCGTTGTCGCCATAAAGTCTGGTCCAGACCCAAAGATTCCCAAGGCCTGCCCTGCGGCAGCCCTGGGTGCCATCCTCCTTCTCTATAGGGTGACCTATTCCTAGGATGGTTTTGCGGGGGACCTTGACCCCTGCCTCCCGCTTGGCTGTTTCCTCCTCTACCGCCAACCCCCTGATCGCCCTGGAACCGGCTCCCTGAGGCCCGGCCCCCTTGGCCCTGGCCTCGTCCTCCTTGCGGCCTCCCTCCAACCGCGATAGCAGCGTAAGTCCTCCCCTGGCCCACACCGCTGTCATCCTCCTCTAACCCCACTCAATCTGATCGTAGGGGATCTCATCTACACTACCCTCGTCTAGAGTTAGGACAAGGCTATCCTTAGTCTTCCCTTGCCCAGAGATAGTGCAGCCCTTCCATTGCTTCCCCTTGTCCAAGTTTTTGTGCCAGAAGGTAGACACAGATGCTGACTTGGCTTCAAAGGCCACCACTTCACGACTAAGAGAATCATACGTAGTGGCCGAATTTTCGCTCTTCGTGAAGAAGTGCCATTGCAAGGCTTCGGGGATAGCCCGATAGAAGAGACCGACCAGTTGGGTGTCTGTGACCCCATGGTCAGGAACAGTGATTAATTCATCCATCGTGCTCTTGAGTGCCCTGACACTCTTCCACTTGCGGGCGTGGATCGTCTGTAGCCTATCTGATGCTTTGACACTTCGAGGGACATCTGCAAATCGCTCGCGCAGCAATCTCATGAACTCAGTGAGGGAAGTAAATGCCGAATAGGCGACGGGATCGTCACTGCAGTTGGCAGCGCGAACAAGGGATCTTGCGAAACTGGCGGCCTCATCTCTAAGTGCGTGGATCGCAATTAGAACTTGCTGATCCGGGGAGACCTGTTGCAAATGCACGTAGGTCTTAACGTTGGCCTCCYAGTTATCAAAGTTCTCTTCCCTCTTCCCACWGTARGAATYAGGGAATTTGACCTTGACTGGCTCTCTACGCGGCGGGCGTGGTTCCTCCTCCTTGGGAGTTGCCGCCTTGACGCCCTCAATGGCGCCAACGCAAAATCGTTCAGTCTTCTCGAGGCGATGATTCACCTTGGATCCTATCGCGCCTACCAATTCGCGAGCAAAGTCTCGAAACCCCATTCGTATGGAGCGTATAGCCATGTCCTGACTTCGACTAAAATCGTACTGTTGTTCTTGTATCCGGGCTAAGCGCTCGACAGTTTGGGCAATGAGTTCTACCTTTTTCTCAAGGTCTACCTGAGGGGTCAACCTCAGGGTTAGTTGCTGCATCTCCCCTAGGTCTTTGACCGCGTCAATCGCCGCGTCCACTTTCTTCTTCTTTTCTCTCATCACTCTCCGCTTCCACGCCATCCTCGTCTCATCCTCCATTGCATGCCGCCTCACAACATCCCTTTCTGCTTCCCACTCCATACCGGCTTCCTGCTCGTCCTTGGGGATATACATGGCTACCTCTTCTTCTTCTCCCAGGGACAAGTTGGCGACCCACTCTGAGATCCGCTTCTCCATCTCATCATCTTTGCTACCACTGTACTGCCCTTGCTGTTCTCTTCTCCTCTCCAGTGGCTGATCATCTTCTTCCTCCTCTTCTTCTTCCACCTCCTTCAACTTTGCTTCCTCCTCTTTCTGTATCCTCTCCTTCTCTCTAGCCATCTCTTCTTCTATCTTCTTCAATTTGGCCGCCTGCTCCTCCTTCAAGGCTTTCTTCTTGGCCTCTTTCTTCTCCTTCCTCTCCTGCAGAATGGCGGTCATCTTCTCCTTCTCCTCCTTCGTGTAAGGGTTGGTGGAAGTACCACCACGAGTAGGCCCTACTCTACACGTGAAAGTGGGCCAGAAACCCAGAGGAAAGAGGAGACGTCAGAGGGTCCCCTAGAGAGAGAACCCAACCAGCAACCCATACATCGGATAGTCGTCCATTGTGGCGCCAGGTGCACGACAATGTCCCATTCCTCACCACTTAGACCTACCCAGACACACTGACCTACTGGCTAACTCTCTAAGATCCACCACTCACTACTACGCTAAGGCTGTCACTACTGAACCCAAAGCTGATCAGGAGGCATTTAAGGAGATCCCCCAAACTCCACAAAAATTCTTTAACGTCGCTGACAGGACGACGTGATCAGCTTGGTTCCTCTGGTGATTTCAGCCCCCAACTCAGTCGTTCCAGCCTACTGTGCCACACCGAGCAGCCCGCCGGTCTGTACCGGTCCTTGGAGGGGTTCGTATCCCTCGGGACAGTCGAGTTGTCAGACACAGATCATCAGCTATAGTAGGTCCGATAGGGGAATGGTTCAAACAGGCCTCAACACTTAAAGACGGCCCCCGTTTCAGCCTACAACTCGGAGTTCGGACCCTTCACACTGAACTCAGTAGACCTGCCGGTCAATACCGATCATTGGGCTAGACGAGTTGTTTAACGAGCGCTCACCGCTCATGCCCAGGTCTCCAGATGCCAGAGTAAAGCTTTGGTCCTACTAAGCCTGTGCAGGTTTGGCAGCAAGGCCCTATCCTTCATCCACAGAGTCCTAGCACCTAGGACAGAAGAGACTCAATGCAGAAAGGAGAGGCAGACGGACTCAGCAAGTACCGCGGGTGGTGCACATCCACAGGGTAAGGGGATAGGCTGAAGGGTCAACGAGATATCACCAACTCCAGCTTGGTTAAAATCTTGGTCAGCAGCTCCGGTCAACACCTTGGTCAACGCCGAGTCAACGCGGGCAACCCCCAGTCAATGCTTGGTCAACCACCTTGGTCAACACTGAGTCAACCCTCTGGTCAACCCTTGGTCAACCCTTTGGTCAACGGTCTGGTCAACGCCTGGTCAACGCCTCACCTCGGCTATGGCTGCCGGCACCTCC